TATGACCTCATTTATATGTGGAATCTACAAAGTAAGCCGAACCCACAGAAACAGAGATCAGGTTAGTGGTTGCCAGCGGTCAGGGTGGGGGTGGTTGCAATTGGTGAAGGTAATCGAAAGGTGCAAACTTCCAGGTTACGACAAACCGGTCCTGGGGACATCATGCACAGCAAGGTGACTTAATTAACAGCACTGTGCTGTGCATTTGAAAGCTGTTAAGAGAGCACGTCTTAACATTTCTCATCACAAGAAACATAATGTGTAACTATGGGCGGTGACGGATGTCAACTCAACTTACTGCGGCGACCATTTCACAAGATGCCCATCATCACGCTGCACACCTAGAACTAACCACGTTACGTGACAGTTGTATCTCAGTCACACACCTCCCAGGAAGCGGGGTGGGAGCCCGGACTATCTGCTGCAGAAGCCACCTCCGCCCTCCAGCAGCAGCAGGCGGTGGTTGTGACAGGGGCTGTCGGCCCCTCAAAGCCTGGAGTGTTTGCTGTCTGGACCTTCACAAGGAGAGTGCGCAGACCCTGCCCTGGAAGACGGTGGTCGGCAGCGACAACGGCCTGGCTGGGTGCAGGCTCAGCCCAGACAGCCCTAGCCCAGACAGCCCTGTGCTCTGCTGTCGCCCCATTTACTCCCCTCCCCACCCTCAGAGGGAGAGGCTTCAATGTTCCCATTTTACACATGAGAAAACTGAGGCTCATTTGCTTTGAATAATTGACCAAGTGGTGGGGGAAGCTTTGAATCCCAATGTTCTGATTTCAAAGCCACATCTCAACTCTCATTTTTAGAAGGCGGAGGATGTCCAGGCACTGGGGACCCTCCATCTTCCACACTTGTCGTCCTGCTCTAGGGCCACCATCCCCGAGGCAGCTGGGTGAACACATCTAATCCACTTAATCTGCACCCACTCAGCCCTCGGCTTCCACTCTGCTGTTGCTGCCTGACACCAGCTGAGGTTTTATAGGTGAACCATTACCCCCTGCCCGCCCATCTGCCCTGCCATGTGGGGCAGGCCCCTCCTAGCCTGCTCATTCTAAATCCTTAGCTCACACGTCTGCACAACTGCATCAAAAGAGCCCCAATCTCCGTGTGGAGGTGTTGACAAGGGGAAGGGAGGAAGAGCTTGGGGTGGTGGCCTGTTATGCTGAAGGTGACACGTGAAAGGACCAGAGTTTATGTCCATAATGGGACTCAATGTGAAGCTAAAAACTTGGTCCCAGAGAGATGTAAAAGCTTAGAGGCTGTAAGGCTGCTGAGAAAGGGGCTTGACTATTGGATTGCAAATGTGTAATTAAATTTAAAATATCAGCCCCCTGGATGATAACAATTTGCCCTGAAGGTGAGAATTGGCCCCCAGACTTCTGAGCTCCCCTCAGCTCCAGGATGTAATCATCTGAGCAGGGGGGCCTTAACTTGGGGTGCTGTCCTCTCAGTCATGGGTGCACCTGTCCACGTGTGCACCCGTGGACTGCAGCGCCCACAGGTCAAGGTGTGTCTCATGCCCGGCCAAGGAGGCCCAGGTCATGAAGAAGGAATGGCAGTCTGAGGGGTCACACGTGAGCCCCTGCAGGGGTGAGTGCTGTGTACAGAAGAGCCCACACCTCCCCTCCTCCCCCATCCCCCCCCAGGAGACGTGCTGGAGGGAGCAGGACTCCTGCGCCCCTAGGCTTAGCAAGCATCCTGGCTGAGGGTGGGGGGCTGCCCATCTGAAGTCACAGATCCGAAGGTGGACTGGGGTCCCACCTCCACAGCTCACCAGCAAACCCCTCCAGTCTGTTTCCTCCTCTGTGACCTGGAACCCAGTCACCCTCACCCTCAGACCTGGGGGCAGCCTGTGTAAACTATAACACAAAGCCCTGGGCTGATCCAGGTGCCCTGGGGTGTCCAGCCCCGAGGCCGGGCAGGCGGGAGAGGAGAGGGGCGGGTTAGCAGGTGTGACAGCAGAGCTGAGACCCGGCTGAGTGTGTGCGCTCTAACAGCCAGGACCTGGGAGCTGCCACTAGCAAACCCGTTCACTGAGGCCACGTTACTCTCTCATCAGTTACAATGACTGAACAGAGGTCTCTGGACACATCATTGCCTGTCGCCACACTGTTTGGCCTAAAGAAGCAAACAGGGCAGGAGAGAATGACTTACCTAACCGAGACGTCCACGGGGAGACAGCTTCAGGCAGGGCTGCACGTGGTGCTCAGTGACGTCAGCAGAAGTCGTCCTTCCCCACCTCTGGGCTCTGCCACTGGTGCAATCTTCACATGGCTCTGCCGTTATGAGAGCAAGATGGCCACCAACTGCCGCAGGCTGACATCACGTCCCCTCAGGTGCCAGCTGAGATATAACTTCTCCTCCTCCGGGATTCCAGGCCTGACCGTGGAGTCTGGCTGGGCTGGTGCCCAGCCCTGAGCCAATCACAGCGGCCAGGGAGGACGGAACGTGCTGACTGGCCAGACTGGGGTCATGTGACCATCCTCTTGAGGAAACCTGTGAGCTGCTCTCCTGTTCCCAGGGTGGGAGGGTGTGATGTCTCTCAGAGGATCCTGCTATCAGCACAACCTGCAGGTGGCACGATGAGCTGGGAGGAGTCCCTCTGGTTGGTGCCAAGTGACAGGTCGCTCAGTGGTTCCCTGCTCCGGGAGGGAGGCACGTCCACCCGGGATTGGGGCTTCAGGGCCAGAATGCAGCAGAAAAGCCTCCCAGTCTCCCAAAGGTGGGCGGGTGAGCGGTGATGCTGGAAAGGCACTCCTGTCTGTGGCCCTTGAGTTTGCTCCCTGTAGCTCTGGAGAGTGAAGCTCGTCCCTCGCAGCCACTCCCCTGCTGGGAGGCCGATGCCGAAGGCGGAAGCTTGGAAAAGCCCACGTACCCCTCAGAACTGCTGCTGCTGCGGGCAGTAGTAGTATTTTCCTGCCAGTTGTGAGGGGGCCTGAGAGGTCCCTGAACTGGGGGGACAGACACCCACAGCAATGGAGCCCAGTATTACTGTTCGTTCCACAATGATTTACTGAGCACCTGCTGTGTGCCAGGTTCCCAGGGTAGAGCAGTGGTGTCGACGGGCACAAGCGCCTGCCCTCCCGGGGCCACAGACACCACGGGGGTACAGAGGTGAGCAGCGCGTGGAAGGCTGAGGACCCCCAGGTGAGGGAGGCCGGCCCCCCTGGAGGTCAGTTACCTTTGCCTGTTATGAGACCTCAGTGTTAGCATCTCTGGGCCCCTGCCAACCAGACCTTTCTCCCAGTTTGTCCTCAGGACCGTTTCATCCAGAGCAAGGAGTGGGAATTTTCAGGGAAGAGCTATGAAATACATCTCCCAGGGGAAATTCTTTGTGGTTATGTGATCTAGTATACATACAGCCTGCTGTTTCAAGGGGCCCTGAAAATGGAGCCCTTCCCACGTCTGCAACATTCTGTGTCGTCTTTCCTACTGGTTTCTCAGCAACAACAGCGTCATCAACAACCACGAAGTAACTTGAGGAAGGGAATGTTGCCACTGAGTTCTGTGAAATTTCGCTGCCTGTCAGCACCCCCAGGACTGACTTCCTGGGGAGCTGTCAGGGTTCAGGAGGCAGAGACTGAAGGGAAGACGGGCAAAGCACTGTTCTGCAGCTGCTGCTTCACCCTGGAACCCCTTTTGCCCCAGCCCAGTGGTGTTTTGCTCTCGTCCTGGACCTTGGACCAGCTACCGAAACCCGGGTGGGAAGGATGGTTGCTGCTTATTGAGAAATCTCCCCGATTCCCACGCCGACACGCCCTTGCTACCGCCCAGGGGAGAACGTTTTGTTAGGACTTGTCAGATCCTAAACCCGGAGTTGGTGCAGGGCACTGAGAGCAATGAGAGGCTCCCTCTAAAACCGGGAAGGCCCTCACCCAGGCCAGGCACCAAGATGGGACGAGGCGGGGTGCCAATGTTGCAAATATAAGCACTTCCTGCTTGCTTTTATTTTTTGCAACACTTGGACACTTTTGCTCCCCCACCTCTGACTCCAGGGTTGCAAGAGCAAAGAGGAAAAAACAAAAACAAAAGCTTTGCGCGCACACTTAGACGCACACCAGCGATGACAGAGGGGAGCTGGAAAGATGCTGGAGGGAAGCGGGAGGCAGGGGGCGGCGGGGAGGGAGCCCGTGGCGCGGGAAGCAGGCAGGTCCCACGTCTCCTCGAGCAGAAGGGGGAGGAGCGGGGGAGCAGGTGGAGGATGGAGCTAGTCCTGGGCAGCAGGCTTGGGCTCGCCTGGAGAAGGGAGGGGCCGCCCAGCGATCAGGGGATTGGAAAAGAAAGGCAGAGCGAGGGAGGTGTCGGCCGGTGGCGTAGACACCCGGGTTGGGCGCTCCGGAGCTCGAGCTCGCTTGGGGTCTCTCCAGATAAGTGGAGCTGGGGGCAAAAGGACTGGAAAGTCTCACGCGCCTGCCCGCACAACAAAAGGGTAAAAGGAAAGAAAAGTTTGTGGTTTTTTTTTTTCTTTTGGTTTGTTTTAAATTTTCCTGCAGCCCCCAGTGCGGCTCAGGGCGCGGGCAGGGGACTAGCCATCTGCCATCGCTCCGCTGCGCCGTCTCGGGCTTCATTCTTTGGCCACGCGCATCCCCCGCTCGGCGCTCGGTCCTCGGTACCCGGCCGGCGCTCCCACTCCCGCGCTCGGGCAGCGGCCCCGGCACCGCGGATTTCGGCGAGGGGGGCTGCTGTGAGCGGTGGCGGCGCCGACCTCCGAGGGCCCAGGCAGGCCTGGGGGCCCGCGCTGGGCTGGACGGAACCGGCTCCCGGAGAGTCCCCTCTGCCGGGGCCCGCGGCGCCCTCTCGCCGGTTCCGCAGTGTAAGGAGCAAAGGAGGTTTTAAATTTTTTTGATTTAATTTTTAAAATTTTCACAGAGGGCATCTGGTAGGGGCAATCTTTTAAAAGTTTTGTGTGTGTACTGTTCGGCAGCGAGGTTACTGTGATGCAGACACAGAAGCCTGGGCAGAGATGAGGCGTGCGCGTCCCACGCTGGTGACAGCGCCCGGAGGACCAGGGTGGGCGCCGACCGACCACTGCCAGAGGGGCCAGGAGAGCCGGGAGGGAGAAGCCGGTCAGGGCTGGTGTGGAAGCCTCCAAAAATAAACGTTTTATGTTTTTTGTCGGTTTTCTCTTGTCCTTGGTTTTATATATACACACACACACAGATGTATATACATATATATTTATATACGCCATATACAGTAAGTATATACGTATATACGTGTCTGTATGCCTATATACTTAATATTTAAGATGTTATTTTGGGCACTACAATTTCCAGATTTATTCAGTTACCTTCTGTTTGGTGTGTTTGTAATAGTGTTTGTTACTCCATTAACTGTAGGAAATGACTTAATGATTTCTAATACTGTGTTATTGAAGGAAAGGAAAGATGGCCCATTTTTATTCAGCATGTTTCATGATTTTGTCAAGACTAAATGCACAATACTTAATTGTTCAGCAACCACTTTTACTGTAGGCATATAAGCAAGTATGAATCTTGCAGTTGGTTTATCTTGTTTATTATTACTTGTTTCCAAACTGTGCATTCAGCATTTTCAGGAAAACTTAAGAATCCTACATCTTCATCTTACGATTTGAAGTCATTGGCAAATTCCACATTATTTGCTCAGTGGTGTGCTGAAGGATTCTTCATAGTGTTTGTTCTCAGTGTAAGTTTTCTGCCAGGAACTCCAGCTAATGGCCTTGCCACCTTGACTTAAATATTGCCATATGCACAGTGTTGACTGAGGAATGAGTGATCACTGAAGACCCTCTTCTGTTCATGACGCTGACAATGTTTTGTGCAGTGAGAACCCTCACTTCCTACAGGTGTCATCTTATGAGCAATAGAATTCCAATGTGTAATGGACCGAATTGCTTCTCCTTTAGGAATTATTTGGTGCAATCTAAGAGTTTTCTTCTCCAAATAAAGATTGCTGGTCCTTCTTTTGTATTTTAGGGATTACTCCTGTTTATAGCTTTCTTGTGCACACCAGGGCTGGAGCTTGGATGAAGGCTCCACAAGAGTGATTACAGCTCTGTCTTTGCTACACAATGACAATGTGCTCTTGTTTAAAGGATAGGTGCTTGCTGGCAGCTTTTTTTGCATTGGTTGCAAACATGAAGTTTCTCTACCGTGTGAGTTCTTTGGTGTGAATAAAGGTTAGCTCTCTGGCTACTGCTTTCCTTACATTTGTTATGTTTATATGGTTTCTCTAGAGAGGGCTGGATTTTGGTATTTCTCTTCCTTTAGGTCAGTTAAGTTCTACAGAAGCCTCAGTTGTTTGAGGTCTGGTAAATTGCTTCTCCTGAGGGTAGATGTAGTAAGGGAGAATGAAATTTGTAGGCCTGTTTCAAAATTGTTACTTTATTTCTCCTCTGCTGGAAGTGCAGCCCCCCTCCTTTATTTTCCCCCTTGTTTTCAGTATGAGAACCTGGTAGGAATCCTGAACAGAATTGCCCACCCCACCCCCACCCCTGGGCCCCCTGGAGTTTGCAACTCAGACTAGTGTCCTGAGCCTCCAGCAGTTTGTCAATTATGGGTCAGTTCCCCCAGCCATAGGGGGGTTTGTCCATGGAGGTTTCTGCTTGTGCATTTCCTCTTTGGTAAATTAAGAGTCTGTGTGTCCACCTGCCTATCTCCCCATCTGGGGGCTGGCATTCACCCTGTGACCTCATTCTCTGAGGGCTCTGTCAAGAGTTACTGATTTTCAGTTGGTTTGCTTTTTGACTCGTTAGGGTGACAGCTTGCAAACTCTTTACATGCTGAACCATGTACATGAAATGAAAAGTCTGAATTGTCCTTATTTTATTCCTTTCTTTCCCTGGAAGATTTGCTTTTTTCAGTTGTTATTAATAAAATAATTTTATTCATTTTGTTCTAATTCCATGCCCCATCCTGAGTCTGTTCTCTGCCTAAGGGTAATCAGCCTGCCCAGATAGGTCCTGGGGTGGGGCGAGGAGCGGTTGGACCTTGGCTTCCTTGCTCCCTGGCTTACCCTTAGCAGGCTTTAGGGTTAACAGGTGAGCTGGAGCAGTGGTGGATACTGACTGTAGTCACCTAGAAGGTTTGTTGTGGGAAAATAACCCACTGACTGTTTGCAGGTGTGATCTCTTCTTTTTGTTTATCCTCTGGGCTCTCTCCTCCAGATCTGTGCTGTGCACAGACATACAGCACAAACATTGATGAAGATAATACTGTGGCCCTTCTGCCAAATGGTAACAACACTTAGATCTTTTTTTTTAATTATACAGAATACATACTGTAAAAAAAAAAAGGTCAAATTATACACCTATTACGTGAAAGTGTCTCCTTTCATCCACTTCTCAGCAAACTCACTCCCATTCTCAGAAGGAACTATTGTTAACAGGTTGAAGTTTATTCTTCTGAATATTTTTATGGTGTATAAATACATATAAAGGTTTTAAACATGTTACATGACTACGTTGTTTTGCAATTTGCTATTTTTCAAACTGTATATTATAGATGTCTTTCCATAACAGTGCATATAATTCTGACTCTTTCAGATGTTTTAAAGGTATTCCAAAGAACAGGAATACTAGGACCTACCTAACTATCCTTCTTTGATAGAAATTTGATTATGTCTACTTCCACTATTCTCAGCAATGCTGCAGTGAGATTTTTGTACATAACTTATTACCCTGATGTCTAACTGCTCAGTTTGCCTTGCCCTCTCCTAGTCACAGAACGTGAGTCATATTTTTAACACTTCTTTTGTAAGGACTATAATTTGCTTTATAGGAAAGTTAATGTTATCACTGGACTTCACGGTTGTCCATCTCATTATTCTGCTAGGAAAATCATGAAGTTTAGTAGGCATTACGCTCACTGCACTTTTTAACACATGTCATATTTTTTAAAGGGAAAAAACCCTTTGTTCATCGTAACACAATCTCTGTACAACACATAGTAAACGCTGGCTTATGGGAAAAGGAAGCACATGTGACAGTAAAAGATGGGACAGGCTCCAGATTTAAATTTAAGTATCTCTTCTTGTCCAGAGAAAGTATGATTTTCTCTGGTCGTTAAAACTTCTGACTCTGGGGGCTTCTGGGAGGATGAGATACTGCTTTTGCAATGTCTCTTTCACTGTACGCTGTGGTTTATAGATTGCAGAATTGGAGATGGTCATATATATATATGGTATTCAAAGTAATGAACCCAAGATCGGGATCTGCAACTTTGATTCTCCATAAAGAATATCCTTTGATTTTTTCCCTGTCTCCACGATTACTAGTCGTAACTCTCCCGTGGGTGAGCAGAGGTGTGTCTGCTGACAGGGTATGGCTGGAGCATTAGCAGTTAAGGCCGCCACGTCCACAGGTAGGTTAAAGTTGACCTATAAATGAATTCTGCCTTGGTCATTGGCCACAGGAAAATAAGAATTTTAAACTGATCAATGCTATTATTTTTTACTATCTGTACTATCCATAAACAATTTTTATAAATTTTTATTCTCCATAAAATTTGCAAATTTCTGATTTTTAAAACATGTAACTTTTTTCCACAATGAAGCTGTGTGTATATTATTAGCTGTGTATATATTATTAACATGCCTGGTCTGAGTGATAGAATGAAATTTCTATCCGTCTTTCTACTTTTAAAATTGTTTCTCTTTATCTGATGGGTTTATCTTTTCATCCAGATTCTAAGACATGTGAAAGAGCATCTTGGTCCTTCAAAGGAAAGAAGCCATAGAAATTTGATTTTCTGTGTTTGGCGTCGTATAGGCATGAGCAATGCCTTATGTAGTAGTACAGTGATTCTGAAATCCAGTTGTTGGTTAAAGGGGCGAAATGGAGGATTGAGTGGTGACTCGTCCCTGTGATCAGGGATATTGTACACACATGTCATCAGTGACTGTATGGTGTTTGCAAATGCTTAGTTGTGTAATAGTTTAGATGACGTGTCTCATGCTGTTGCCAACCAGGGTTGGGTTGGAGAGGAGGGAGGGCCTGGGTGGTCTGCCCAACCCCCCACCTTTGCCCTGGGCACCTCAGAAATGGCAGTTGGGTTTCTGTTTCCTGCATCTTACTGCTCATAACTTGCCCCAACTGCCCGTGCATGCAGTTATTTTTAGTCCCTCATAGTTTCTTTGCATTTTGTTTCTCAAGGTGCAGGTCCCCGCCTTTCCAAACACTGTAGCAAGAGGTGCCAGGCCTCAGCCTGCCTCAGTACTGGAAACATGTATCACCCTGACTTTAAACTGCACAAGTTTTTCTTTCCAGCACTTTTGCACAGACTCCTTTCCTAAACACCCTTTGTTCTAGGCACAAGAACAACAGGAGTTTCCAAAGCTGGAGATGAGCAACATGCTCAGCAGGAAGAAGGGGACCGCTGATCTGCAAAAATAAGAACGATCTGTTGCCCTATGTGTGACCTCCATGGAAGCCAGCACCTCCCCCTTGAACTCTTGAACTCTTACTATCACACCCCCTTTCTTCTCTCCCCAGCAGGCTCACCGTCTTGGAGGCAAGACTAGGAAACAAATAAAGCTGTCTTTTCTGATTCATTCAAAGCTCTGTTCTTGAGTGTCAATTCGGTAATTAGGTGATGGAGGCAGAGTTCTGGCAACACTGTTAAAGCATTTTGGCATTGGAAGCCCCTGCCTGTGTTGACAGGCAGTGACGGCACTTAAGCATCACATTGAAGAGGAAGAGATCTTTCCTTTTTCCTGCATCTAGA